CCAACCCTTGCGCAATGCGGGGCATGAGTACATAAGGATTGCTACAACGGGGGCGATGACGTAACATGGACGCATGTAATTTTGCGAGCAGCAATCGGAAGGCTCGCAGGCCCCCGAGCAAGACCTAAGAGCTACGTAATAACAAATCACCCCCGTTGGCTGTGCCATGCGCCCGTTGCACCCAACGTAACCCACAGCAGCTCTTGAGCCCCCGCGGGATACCAGCAGGCGCAACGTTATGGCCATCGCCCGGCAGATGGTCTGTTTCACAAATCACCCGTTGCGCCTGACGTATCCCACAGCAGCTCTCCACAGCCCCCCAGGGACGGCGAGGTCCCGCTCAGATCCCCGCGGTGCCTCACTCCGCAGGACCGGCGAGGTCCCGCTCAGATCCCCGCGGCGCCTCACTCCACAGGACCCACCAGCAGCCCTCGAAAGTGGCGACAATATCGCAAATCGCACCCCCCCAGGGACGGCGAGGTCCCGCTCAGATCCCCGCGGTGCCTCACTCCGCAGGACCCACCAGCAGCCCTCGAAAGTGGCGACAGTGTCGCAGATCGCAGCCTCCCAGGGACGGCGAGGTCCCGCTCAGATACCTGCGGTGCCTCGCTCCGCAGGACCCACCAGCCGCCATCGAAAGTGGCGACAATGTCGCAGATCGCAACCCCCCAGGGACGGCGAGGTCCCGCTCAGATCCCCGCGGTGCTTCACTCCGCAGGACCCACCAGCAGCCCTCAGAAGTGGCGACAATGTTGCAGATCTTACCACCCCAGGGACGGCGAGGTCCCGCTCAGATCCCCGCTGTGCCTCACTCCACAGGACCCACCAGCAGACCTCGAAAAAGGCAACAGTGTCGCAGATCGCAGCCCCCCAGGGACGGCGAGGTCCCGCTCAGATCCCCGCGGTGCCTCACTCCGCAGGACCCACCAGCAGCCCTCGAAAGTGGCGACAATGTGGCAGATCGCAACCTCCCAGGGACAGCGAGGTCCCGCTCAGATCCCCGCGGTGCCTCACTCCGCAGGACCCACCAGCAGCCCTCGAAAGTGGCGACAATGTCGCAAATCGCAGCCCACCAGGGACGGCGAGGTCCCGCTCGGATCCCCGCGGTGCCTCATTCCGCAGGACCCGCCAGCAGCCCTCGAAAGTGGCGACAATGTCGCAGATCGCAGCCCCCCAGAGACGGCGAGGTCCCGCTCGGATCCCCGCGGTGCCTCACTCCGCAGGACCCACCAGCAGCCCTCGAAAGTGGCGACATTGTCGCAGATCGCAACCCCCAGGGACGGCGAGGTCCCGCTCAGATCCCTGCGGTGCCTCGCAGGACCCACCAGCAGCCCTCGAAAGTGGCGACAGCGTCGCAGATCGCAGCCCCCCAGGGACGGCGAGGTCCCGCTCCGATCCCCGCGGTGCCTCACCCCGCAGGACCCACCAGCAGCCCTCGAAAGTAGCGACAGTGTCGCAGATGGTCGCAGATCGCAGCCCCCCAGAGACGGCGAGGTCCCGCTCAGATCCCCGCGGTGCCTCACTCCGCAGGACCCACCAGCAGCCCTCGAAAGTGGCGACAATGTCGCAGATCGCAACCCTCCAGGGACAGCGAGGTCCCGCTCAGATCCCCGCGGTGCCTCACTCCGCAGGACCCACCAGTAGCCCTCGAAAGTGGCGGCAGTGTCGCAAATCGCACCCCCCCCCCAGGGACAGCGAGGTCCCGCTCAGATCCCCGCGGTGCCTCACTCCGCAGGACCCACCAGCAGCCCTCAAAAGTGGCGACAATGTCGCAGATCGCAACCCCCCAGGGACGGCGAGGTCCCGCTCAGATCCCCGCGGTGCCTCACTCCGCAGGGCCCACCAGCAGCCCTCGAAAGTGGCAACATTGTCGCAGATCGCAACCCCCAGGGACGGCGAGGTCCCGCTCAGATCCCTGCGGTGCCTCGCAGGACCCACCAGCAGCCCTCGAAAGTGGCGACAATGTCGCAGATCGCAGCCCGCCAGGGACGGCGAGGTCCCGCTCAGATTCCCGCGGTGCCTCACTCCACAAAACCCACCAGCAGCCCTCGAAAGTGGCGACAGTGTCACAGATCGCAGCCCCCAGGGATGGCCAGGTTCGCGCAAGGCAAGAGGAGACAAGAGGGGAGCGGGACACGGGAGGCGGGAGGAGGAGGAGGAGGAGGAGGAGGAGGAGGAGGAGGAGGAGAAGGACTGGAGACCGCAGTGCTTTATTCAAAACGAATACCCAACCAAGGAGGGTTGGGAAACATCTGCCCTCCGACCAGTCTGGGGGTGCGTTCTGGCCAGAATGTCGAGGGGGGCCCAGCCGCTACGACGAGGACGCCCCAGGGAAGCCGGGCAAGGGCCAGAAAATTATTCACTGCGTAACGCTCCCCACATGTGCATCCATTAGCATAGACCTGTCAGCCGTGAGTGTCTAGGCGCAAGAGTTTTCGAACATAAGCGAGCCTGAGTATTGACGGTCTGGGAGCGAATCTAACTGTGAATGAGTTAGAGCGTCAAGGAGTCTCAGAGGTATCAGTGCGTCTCTGCTCATGAGCCTGGGGCCTCCTGGGGCCTCTTGAAACCTCCTGGGGCTTCCTGGGACCTCCTGGAGCCTTTTGGGGCATCCTGGGGCCTCTTGGGGCTTCCTGTGGCATCATGAGGCCTCCTGGGTCCTCCTGAAGCCTCCTGGGGCCTCCTGGACCCTCCTGAAGCCTCCTGGGGCCTCCTAGGGTCTCCTGGGGAGGATTCGTGCCCCAAGAGAGGCCCAAACTATAGCAAACAGACGTGACACACTTTGGATTAAAGCCACATGAGGAGGAACATCTGTAAGAACAGACGTAAAGCACCAAGGACTCGTGACCCAGGGGAGGCTCAATCTATCGGAACATGCGTGAAACACTTAGGAGTGGACACGCAGGAGATGGACGATATCTATATATAATATATATATATATATATATATATATATACATATTATATATACATATATATATAATATGTAATATACGTTGAAGCATGCGGAAAACACAAAGGATTGGTACGCCGGGGGGGGCCCAATCTACAGGAACAGATGTAAAACACCAGGGATTGGAGCCACTACTGTGGCCTTCTGAAGCCTCCTGCTCCTGGGGCCTTGTGAGGACTCCTGGGGCCTTCCGGGGCTTCCTGGTGCCTCCTGGCGCTTCCTGTGGCATCATGGGTCCTCCTGTGGCCTCCTGGGGCCTCCTGGTGCCTCCTGGTGCTTCCTGGGGCCTCCTGGAGCCTCTTGGGGCCTCCTGGGGCCTCCTGTAGCCTCCTGGGAGCTGTGGCCTCCTGGGGCCTCCTGGAGCCTACTGGAGCCTCCTGTAGCATCCTGAGGAGGATCCGTGCACACGAGGCTGGCCAGCAAAACAATCAAACCGTTCGAGACGTCCTCTCCATCTGGGCCACCAGGGGTGCGAGAACCAGCGCCTCGCTCGAGACATCCTCCAAATCTGCTCCGGGAGCGGGGGATGCGAAGGGCACAAACAGGCAAACCGCTCGAGACATCCCCGCCATTCTGGCGCGAACGGGGGAGTGAGATACCCCCTGGCGGCTCCCCTTTAGGGGGTGCTGTAACCCGCGCCTCGCTCGAGACATCCTCAGACTTTGCTCCGCCATCATCATCATCATCATCATCATCATCATCATCATCATCATCATCATCATCATCATCATCATCAGCAGCAGCAGCAGCAGCAGCAGCAGCATCAGCAGCATCAGCAGCAGCATCAGCATCATCATCATCATCATCAGCATCAGCATCATCATCATCATCAGCAGCAGCAGCAACAGCAGCAGCATCAGCATCAGCATCAGCATCAGCATAAGCATCAGCAACATCCTCATCATCGTCATCATCATCATCAGGATCGTCGTCGTCATCATAATGACCACCACAACCACCACCACCACCACCACCATCATCATCATCATCATCATCATCATCATCATCATCATCATCATCATCATCATCATCATCATCACGATCATCACAATCATCATCACCATCACCATCATAGCATAACATCGAATTTCATGATATCATATAAACCAACATGTCGCATCGCACAATAAAGCCACATAACCCATCATGCCATATCACACCATATCAAACCATGGCATACCATAGGATTACATCACATAGCACGCAATGGCATACTATGCCTCAGCATCCCTCCAAACACCATAGCATAACATGTCATGTCATACAGTAACATGCATGGCATGTCATGGTACGGAAGAAGAGGGAGGCGTGTGAGTGAGGAATTGGCGCGGTCGGGTTAATTATTCACTGCGTGGAGCTCCCAATATGTGCATCTATGTGGATGGACCTGTCCGCCGTGAGTGTCTAGGCGCAAAAAGTTCCGAACACAAACGGGCTTGAGTATTAGCGGTCTGTGAGTGATTCTACCTGTGAATGAGTTGGAGTGTGAATGAGTCTCCGTAGTACGAGTGCGTCTCTGCGCATGAGCCTGGGGCCTCCTGGGGCCTCGTGGAGCCTCCTGGAGCCTCCTGCTCCTGGGGCTTCCTGGAGCCTCCTGGATCCTCTTGGGGCCCCCTGAGGCCTGTTCTTCTTAAGGAAGCTTGCGCAAGTAGGACGTCCAAGCACCGTCAACAACAAAATGCTACACACTGCGATCCCTGCGACAGTTGCGAAACTGGAGCACGGAACTGAAGACGTTGCATCCTCGGATCATTCTAGTTTCACTGCGAAGCCTGGAACTTTGACCAAGCCGCCCGCCTTCAATCAGTATCCTCGGCACAAACCTTTTGTGTCACGGAACAAATTACAGTCCGCATGCACCACGCGGGTCCGCTACCCGGACCTGGCACGGAGCACGGGACCAATTCGACCGTGCATTCCAATGGGAACGAATTCTTAAACTCTCTACCCCACGAATTCGATTCGGTCGCTCAACGCACGAGGCCGAGGCAGAACAAGTCAAGAAAGGACGTCGCCTCGGCCTCCGTGGGTCTCGGACTCCGGGTTCTCACTGATCTTGCTTCCGCCACCTCGGCTCATGGCCCTCTGGCCCAGCGCCAGGCCAAATCTTGTCGGCCCAATCGTCCGGCATTTCTGGGCAAAGGCCCCACTCTGTCGCCCGTTCGATACCGTTGATGATGTCGATGCAGCACTGGTAGCTTTTCTGGTCCTTCATCGGGTGGTAGGCTGCCCACTTGCCCTGCTTGCAGACTGCGACGTCATCATCCGGCTTGAACCCACCGCCGTCCACCACGTAGCCGACACCGAGCGCGTCCATGCACCCCTTCATGAAGCCGTCCTCTCCAGAGTCCAACCCGAGGGTCTCCTGACAATTCGGCCACCAATCGTAATACAACTCCAGGGCCTCGCGCGAAAATATCTCGACGGCGCCAAGGAAACCGTTGTTACCCAGCGAAGCGTTCAGGTCGTTGTTTTTCACGTAGATCGGCTGCTTCTTGGGCACTTTCAGCGCCTCCAAATGCCACTTCAAACGCTGCGGCACGAGAAGGCAATCCGGGTCCACTTTCACCGTCCAGCTGTGCGACCAGAGGTGTCCAGCTTTCTTGACCTGCTCCCATACGTTGAGGAAAACGTCAGTGTTCTGCAAAGTTGTCTCCTCGGAATCCCAATCCACGTAGGTCGACTGCCACGTCTGGAATAAGTCGTAGGCGTCACATGCGAATACGCTCGCGCTGTTAGCCTTGGCCACCTCCGGGGAATCCAGAAGTTCTTACCGATACAGCTACTCCCCAGACCTCTCCTGGGTTCTAACCAGAACTTCGAGGCGAATCCAGCGGAGGCGATGAGGGCCTCCCAGGAGGCCAAAAGAGGAGAAAACAAGGTAAGGGTAGAGGCATGGGTCCTTTTCCTCCTCTGAACCTCCATCAAACCCTCCTCATATGAACCTGGGAGGTAGGCCATGACGCAGTACAAGTCGGTTCCCAGCTCCTCGCCGTCGTCGGCCTTCGGAAACTTGTACTCGAGCTGCCCGCCCCCGACAAACTTCGGGTCCGCCGGCCAGCCCTCGGGCAGGTCCACCTGGACCTTTGTCAGCTCGCCCTTCTGGATCACCATGGCGAAGGTCTGGACGCACCCGGTGAAAAACTCGTCCTTCACCATGCACTCGAAGCCCACGTTGCAGCACATGCCAGTCTGAGAGCAGTCCAGGCCTGCCCAGCTGCAGTGCGGGTCAGTCTTGGTGCGATTCCCCAATTCCGTGCAGTCCCAGCCGTCCTCTGAGCAGGACTTGGAACAGGTTGCGTAATACTTGTCCTGCTTAAAGCAGGTCATGCCACCACCGCCTCGAGCACCGCTACAACACTTTGTCTCCGTGCAGTCTTCCCCAGGAGCAGAGCACTCGTCCTCTTCACAGAACCCCCCGGTGCGCCAAATGCACTGGGTGCCGGTCCCGCACCCGCCGCTGTCAGAGTAGGTCCAACAACCGGCAGCACATTGGTCGCCCCTCTGCACACACCGGTCTCTGTTCTCCTCGGAGGTGCAACTCTCACTCTTCCCATAAACCCAACAACTGTCTTTGCAAGTGTCGCCATGCCACATGCACTCGTCCCGGCCGTTGCATGTGCCCTGGTCGGAGAAGTCCGCACACGGTAACTTGCACTTGCCAGCCTTCCATTCGCACCGGTCTTTGGGGCACGTCTTCTCCTCGAACACATGGCAACCAGGGTCGGACCGCTTCCCGACCTTCTTGCAAGTCCACTCTGGCTTGTACGTGTTCCCAGACTTGTCGTAAAGCACGGTGTCGTCCTCCTCGTGTACGCCCTCAGCGCAAGACTCGGCGCACACGGCGAGATCCCCGTCGCGCTGGAAGCACTGGAAGCCGTGGTCGCCGCCGTCGAGGCAACACTGGGACCGCGTGCAGTCGCCACCCTTCCACACGCACGGCTCCTTTGGCGCGCTGTCCGTGGCCACCGTCACACTGTCCGCGGCCACCTTCGGCCTGACTTGGGCCGTCTTCGAGTTCGTGGCGTGTCTCGACTTGGTCTCCACCTGCAGCCTCGCCGCGGCGACGTCGGCCGCCTCCCGACCCGCGCCGCCGCCGCCGCGCCACACGGCCGCCGCGGCCACCAGCGCGAGCGCAACAGCTGCCGCCGCCGCCGCGCCGGCCGCGCGCCGGCGATTGCCGGCGAGCCCTCGGGGAGCGGCGGGGCGATCCTCCGCCAGCAGGTGCCCCGCCTCGGCCGCCTGCTGCAGGAGCTCCTCCGAGCTGTCGGCCGGCATCGCGGCGGAATCCCGGCGCGCTGGGGCGTGCGCAGCCACGCCAAGGCCGCGCACGGCGTCGGGCCAGGATGGCCTGGAGCCACAACGGCTACGGGGGGCCTCCTGTGGCCTGTTGAGCCTTCTTGTAGCCTCCGGCTGCCTCCTGGGACCTCCTGTGGCCTCGTGGGGCCTCCAGGAGGCCATCAGAGCCTCCTGTGGCTTCTTGGGGAGGATCCGCGCCCAAGAGTCTGGCCAGCAAAACAAGCAAACCGCTCGAGACGTCCTCGCAATCTGGGCCCCCAGGGGTGCGAAAACCAGCGCCTCGCTCGAGACATCCTCAATATCTGCTCCGAAAACGAAGGATGTGGCGGATGCAAACAGGTAAACCGCTCCGAACATCCCCGCCATTTTGGTGCGAACGGAGGAATGAGATTCCCCCTGGCGGCTCAGCCTTGGGGTTGCTTAAACCCGCGCCTCGCTCGAGGCATCCTCAGACTTTGTTCCGCCATCATCATCGGCATCATCATCATCATCATCATCATCATCATCATCATCATCATCATCATCATCATCATCATCATCATCATCATCATCATCATCATCATGATCATCATCATCACCGTCACCATCATCATCACCATCATCATCAGCAGCATCATCACCATCGTCATCGTCATCCGCATCAGCATCATCATCAGCATCATCATCATCAGTTTCAGCATCATCATCTTCATCATCAACAGCAGCATCAACATCATCAGTCGCAATGTCAATACCACCACCACCATCATCACCATCATCACGATGACAGTCATCACAACCATCATCGTCAGCAGCATCAGCATCGTCATCATCATCGGCTGCATCATCATCAGCAGCATCAGCATCGCCGTCGTCATCCCCATCAGCATCATAACCATCAACTTGCCATAACATATCATAACAAGTCATAACGTAACATAGCTTACCATATCATAACCCATCATAACATAACATGGCATAATACGCCATGGCATAACAGGACACAACTTAGCATGATGAGTAGGGAAGAAGGTGGAGGTGTGAGTCGGCGCGGTCGGAATATCGGAAGAGAGGCAGGGGGTGTGAGGTGTTCCTTTTCGGCGCGGTCACGGTAGCAACACAACCCCTAAAACTTGGATATGGGGAAACATATCGTCATTATTTGTATATGGTGAGCAATATATAGAAAGCCATGTATCCACAAAACACTGAGATCAATGAACTTAAAAATGGCGTTTACCAAAGTTGCTGGACTTCTGACCTCAATAAGCTTGTAGTCCGCCACGTTTGCTCACCTGTGGTTTAAAACGAGGCGCCACGAGCAAGAGAGATCGCGATCCTTGTTGAGGAATCCTTGCTGGGGAATCTTAAAGCGGAGCCTCTTCCTTATGCGGAGGCCCAGGCGAGCGCGCGTCGAAGGGACCCCCCCAAAAAGAAAAACCGGGAGTGGCACGGCGCTCGCGCGGCCGCGGAGCCGCCGCGGGACAGCCCCCCCGAAGCGAGAGAAGACCCCGAAGACACCAGCCTCGCGGGGAAGGGCGCCGGCGCAGCGGCGGCGAAGCGTCGACGCAACTGGAGGAAAGGACAAAGAGCGGGGATGGAGAGGGGACGGTTGGAGGGGAGGGGAAATTGGGGGTGGCAGAGGAGCAGAGCCGCGCGGTTTTGGACACGCAGGGCGCAGCTTGCCGCGCGGCGCTGAATGCCGCGCCGCGACTGAACTGAGCAGAGCGGCGGGGGCGAGGCGTTTCGCCGCCTGCTGTGGCGTGGCAGAGCAAAAAGAAGCTGCAGCGCTACGCTGCGCCGGGCAACCGGGCGACCGCGGCGAGTGAAAGCCGGCCGCGTCGAACGAAGGGGGAGGCAACGCATCCCCCCGGGCGCAACAAACGAAAGGTTGCCACTGCGACGGAATAGCCACAGACACGCGCACGCCCGCGGAAAAAGACGCGCCCGCGCGTCGAAACAAAGATATCGCCACACAGCGCAGCGCGATTGCAAAACAATAAACACGCACGCGCGTCAACGCGAAACCGCGGCCACGCAGCACAGCGCGACCGCGAGGCAAAACAGGGGCGCGTCGCAACAAAAATACCGCCGCACTGCGCAGCACGACTGCGAAGCAGACGAAATATATCGAAACGACGATGCCGCCACAGCGCAGAATGACGGTGAAGCCGAAGCACAAGTGTCAAACAGATGCGAAATTCCAATGTAAAGTACGCTGAGTACGCAGCCCTCTACGATACGAGGGCGCCGGGCGCGAGCATTAGTAAGCCGAAGGTCCCCTGACCAATTAAAGTCGCGATCCACAACTTCGCTGCGGACGCGCTTCTGAGGCCCGCGGACCCCCCGCCCTGCAACAATCCCAGCCCAATCCAGGCCGCCGCAGGGCAATTTCCCAGCCAAATCCCCGCCGCGGCCCCGCCGCGGCCCCTCTAAAAAAAAACCGCCGCCAGCAGAATCCCAGCCGAATCCCCGCTGCGGCCCCGCCGCGGCCCAGCCGCCGCCCAGCCGCCGCCGAACCGCGCCCCGGCCACGGGCCGTCTCCCCGGGGGCCCCAACATGGCCCGCAGGAAGGAGGGGCGCGATGGGAAACAGGAGGAACGCGACGGAGGAGCATGGCTGCAGGAGGGGGAAGGAAGAGCGCCCGGAGCGAAGGGCGGGAGGAACGGCAAGGAGGGAGCGAAGGGAAGGCGGGAAGGCGACGAGGGAAGGAAGGAGGAAGAGAGAGGCGGAAGGAGGACGGATGAGGGAGGCCAGAGGGAAGACAGCGTAAGACAGGAAGAGAAAGGAGGAGGGACCACCGGCGAGGATTGAGAAAGGAGAAAAGTAAGGAGGACAAGGGCAGGGGAAAGAGGATAAGAGGCTGGGCCTGCGCAGACCTGGGTATACATACCAGCGACGTGAAGAAAAAGAGGGAACTGATGGCGAAAACGAATACGACAGAGACAATGGAAGCTAATCATAACATACTTGAATGGACGTTATTGGTTCGATGTGGACCTCCGCAGTGGGATACAACGATATTCGACCGCCGCATGTTCATCGCGACGAATGGCAGCGTCGGCGCCAGGGCTGGCGCGCGCGAAACGCACCCGAGAAAGCTGGACAAATTCGAATGACGCGGCGCGCACGAACGGCCCCGAAGCGGACGCAATCGTAACGATCCGGCGCCGTTCGCTACGACGCCATCGCTGGCTGCGCCAACCTGACACAAGCACGCGCGAGAGACTGCTGCGCCATAGCCCCGCTAACCGCGCACTCCAAAAAGCCAGCCGCAAGGAAAAAATACTCACTGCGTGGAGCTCCCCATATGTGCATCTCATGTTTTATGTCATGCCGTGGTGAGCGTCTGTTCATGAGCGGTCGACTACAATAGCGCGTCCACGTGGGCGACAGGGCCGACGAAGACGAGTGACCCCTAATGCGAGTGATTGCGTATGAGTCAGAGTGAGCTTTGAGTATGGTTGAATGCGAGCCTCTTCCTCTTCATCCCCCCTCCTCAGCTGCCAGGCCTTCCCCTTTTCAGCCCGTGGTAGCTTTGGAGCTTCCCACATGTGCATATGTTGTAGGATAGTTGGCAGTGGGATATGTAAGACGAGCGTTTAGCCACACAAGGCCATAAGTGCATGTCATGTTGGAGGATAGTGCCACGGTGAGCATTTCCAACGATCCCCGCACACAACCACCGCCCCCCCCCCTCGCAGTCACCCCCATATGAATACATATATATATATATATATATAAAATGTCCTGGACTTCGGAACAAACGTTCTGCTCGCGTCAAGGACCTTCGAGCAAAGCGCCCTCCTCCTCCTCCTCCTCCTCCTGTTCCTCCGCCCCCTCCCTTCTCCTGCTCCTGCTCCTCCTCCTCATCCTCCTGCTCCCCCTCCCCCTCCGCACCCCCATGCCCTTCCTCACGATCCCCCGCCTCCTCCTCCTCCTCCTGTTCCTCCTCCTCATCCTCGTTCCTGTCATTTCCCTCCCTGTTGAGCCCAGAAACAAGCGAACCGCCTGAGACATCCCCACAATATGGCCGCGAACGTGCCCGTGCAACCACCCCTGGCGGCTCCCCATAGGGGTGCTGCAACCAGCGCCCCGCTTGAGACATCGTCACAATCTGCTCTCCAAGCGAAGGATGTTGAGCCCAGAAACAAGCAAACCGCCTGAGACATCCCCACAAAATGGCCGCGAACGAGCCCGTGCAACCACCCCTGGCGGTCCCCTTAGGGGTGCTGAAACCAGCGCCCCGCCTGAGACATCCTCACAATCTGCTCTCCAAGCGAAGGATGTTGGGCCCAGAAACAGGCAAACCGCCTGAGACATCCCCACAAAATGGCCGCGAACGAGCCCGTGCAACCACCCCTGGCGGCTCCCCTTAGGGGTGCTGAAACCAGCGCCCCGCCTGAGACATCCTCACAATCTGCTCTCCAAGCGAAGGATGTTGAGCCCGAAACAGGCAAACCGCCGGAGACATCCCCACAAAATGGCCGCGAACGAGCCCGTGCAACCACCCCTGGCGGCTCCCCTTAGGGGTGCTGAAACCAGCGCCCCGCCTGAGACATCCTCACAATCTGCTCTCCAAGCGAAGGATGTTGAGCCCAGAAACAAGCAAACCGCCTGAGACATCCCCACAAAATGGCCGCGAACGAGCCCGTGCAACCACCCCTGGCGGCTCCCCTTAGGGGTGCTGAAACCAGCGCCCCGCCTGAGACATCCTCACAATCTGCTCTCCAAGCGAAGGATGTTGGGCCCAGAAACAAGCAAACCGCCTGAGACATCCCCACAAAATGGCCGCGAACGAGCCCGTGCAACCACCCCTGGCGGCTCCCCTTAGGGGTGCTGAAACCAGCGCCCCGCCTGAGACATCCTCACAATCTGCTCTCCAAGCGAAGGATGTTGGGCCCAGAAACAGGCAAACCGCCTGAGACATCCCCACAAAATGGCCGCGAACGAGCCCGTGCAACCACCCCTGGCGGCTCCCCTTAGGGGTGCTGAAACCAGCGCCCCGCCTGAGACATCCTCACAATCTGCTCTCCAAGCGAAGGATGTTGAGCCCAGAAACAAGCAAACCGCCTGAGACATCCCCACAAAATGGCCGCGAACGAGCCCGTGCAAACACCCCTGGCGGCTCCCCTTAGGGGTACTGAAACCAGCGCCCCGCTTGAGACATCCTCCAAGATCTGAGTATGAGTAGGTCTGAGTATGAGTATGCCTGAGTATGAGTAAGTCTGTGTATGAGTAAGTCTGTGTATGAGTAAGTCTGGGTATGAGTAGGTCTGTGTATGAGAAAGTCTGTGTATTTGTACGTCTGGGTATGAGTAAGTCTGAGTATGAGTAATACTGTGTATGAGTAAGTCTGGGTATGAGTAAGTCTGTGTATGAGTACGTCTGGGTATGAGTAAGTCTGTGCATGAGTAAGTCTGTGTATGAGTATGTCTGAGTATGAGTAAGTCTGAGTATGAGTAGGTCTGAGTATGAGTAAATCTGAGTATGAGTAAGTCTGTGTATGAGTAAGTCTGAGTATGAGCAAGTGTGAGTATGAGTAAGTCCGACAGGAGGGGAGGAGAAAAGAGGAGGAGGGAGAAGAAGGAGTAGGAGGCGTCCAAGTAATAACTAGAACCCCATCTTAGGATATGGGGAAACAACCAAGGCGCAAAGATGTGCGAGAGCACGAGTGGGGTCAGCTGGATTTTGGCGTTGTTTCTGTTCGAATTACATTTGGGGGGTAATTTCTCCCCTGGGCCTCCTTACTTCCTAAGGAGTTGCGAATAAGGAATCCTTAGTAAGGCCATCCTGCCTGAATCATCCAATACAAAAAAGTTCTCACGGCATAATCCGCAAACTTTCATATATATATATATACATACATGTATATATATACACAGAAAATGTATATATATATTGTTTTACCAAAAAACAAAAAGTAGAACTCGTTAAGTAGGATGCAGTACCGAAAAGTCCTGCAGACATCACCTTAACCAAAGGGAGAATGAGAAGCCATTACCGAAGCGCCCTTCAGAGAGGATCCTTCCGAAGAAAGGCCCTAAGGAACCCATATTAAGAGATCTTTTTTTTCCGACGGGGTCCCTACTACCAGAGCGCCACCAGGCTGAATGACAAAGACCCCAAAGGGTGCCTGCCGCACAAGAGAGCTCGGACCATCAAGAATTGTGAGAAAACATGTGTTCCAGGTCCAAGACTCAACACACTTTGTAAATAACATGTGTTTCAAATGTGTGAGATGGTCGTGAATCGACCTACCTGAGTGCCAGATACATGCCTATATACAAACATGGTTTAACAATAGGTACTGGCCCTCTGACCTGACAAGTCTGTCGTTTACAATGATTGCTGACCCTTCAGCTTGACACGGGGTGCCACAAGCAAGAGATCGGGGATGTACGACGACATCTTCGTTCTCTCTTTTTTTTGTCTCGCTCTCTCTCTCTCTCTCTTTCTATCTCTCTACCTCTGTCCCTCACGCTGTTTCTCTCTCTGTCTCTCCCTCGCTCTCTCTCTCTCTCTCTCTCTCTCTGTATATATATATATATATATATGTAAACGGGATATCTCTCTTTCTCTCCCTCTCTCACTCTCTCTCTCTCTCTCTCTCTCTCACGGCGCCCCCCCACACACACACACACACACACACACACACACACACACACACACACACACACAGGCACACACACACACGCACACACACACACACACGTAAGACGGTCGTTGATACGGCCACCAGACTTTTTGCACTGCATCCAGACCCTCTAACTCACCTTCCTCCTCTCATCATCATCAGCAGCAGCATTGCTCCTTCTGCTTGCTTCCCCCTCATTGTCCCCACCCAAATCCCTCCTCCGCCCACTCCTCCTCCATCTCTTTCTCCTCTCCATCCCTCCTCCTCATCCTCATAATCCGCATGATCCTCATGATCCTCATGATCATCATCCTCCTCCTCCTCATCCTCCGACTCCTCCTCCTCATCAGCATCATCATCAGCATCAGCATCAGCATGATCATCAACGATCAGCATCCGCATCATAATCATCAGCATCAGCATCAGCATCCTCATCATCACCATCATCATCATCAGCATCGACATCTGCAGCAGCATCACCATCAGCATCATCATAAGCAGCATCATCAGCAGCATCAGCGTCATCAGCAGCAGCACCAACATCAGCATAACCATCAACATCATCAAGATCTGTATCACCAACATGATCATCATCATCATCTTCATCATCATCATCAGCATCATCAGCATCATCATCATCATCATCATCATCATCATCATCATCAGCATCAGCATCATCATCATCATCATCAGCATCAGCATCATCATCATCATCATCATCAGCATCATCATCATCATCATCATCAGCATCATCATCATCAGCATCATCATCATCATCATCATGATCATCAGCATCATCATCATCATCATCATCATCATCATCATCATCATAATCATCATCATCATCATCATCAGCATCATCATCATCATCATAATCAACATCGACATCGTCAGGATGACACTCATCATCATCATCAGCATCATCATCATCAGCATCATCATAATCATCATCATCATCAGCAGCAGCATCATCATCATCATGATCATCAGCATCATCATCATCATCAGCAGCAGCATCATCATCAGCATCATCATCAGCAGCACCCATCATCATCAGCGCCATCGCCGGTGTCATCAGCAACTTCATCATAAGCAGCATCATCATCATCAGCATGCTCGTCATCAACATCGTCATCATCATTATCATCATCATTATCATATTCATCGCGACCATCATCCGTATCATCATCATCATCATCATCATCATCATCATCAGCAGCAGCAGCAGCAGCATCAGCATCAGCATCATCATAATTATCATGAGCGTCCGCATCCTCAACCTGATCAACAACCATTGGCCTCGCCATCAGCATCGACATCATCATCAGCAGCACCATCATCAGCATCAGCATCATCACTATCGTCATCAGCATCGTTATCAACATCATGAGTAGCATCACAATCAGCATCATCAGCAGCAGCATCATCAGCATCATCAGCAGCATCATCTTAATCGTCATTATCAGCATCATCAGTATTATCATGATCATCATCACCATCACAATCACCACCACCTCCACCATCACCATCACCATCATCATCACCATCCTCCTCATCCTCTTCCTTCCCCTCCTTCCCTCCCCCTCCCCCTCCCCCTCCCTCATGCTCCGACGGTCATTTCCTGCTCCTCGCCCCCCGGACCCACCACGTCCGCCTCGCCCTCCGAATGGCGGCGACGACCATCGCGCCTCGGTGAACTGAAGCTCGGCGCAGAGAGCCCTCAGCTGCGCGTCCTCCCTCCTGTCCTGCTCGTCGTGCAGCAGGCTGCGGCCGCGCGGCGACGGCGGCGGCGGCGGCCGCCGCGACGAGGACGAGCAGGATGACGATGACCACGACCACGACCACGACCACGATGACGACGACGACGACGAAGACGACGACGACGACGAGGACGAGAACGGCGAAGGCGACGGCGATCACCGTATCACAACGACGAGGGCGATGACTGCGAAAGCGACGACGAACATAATCGAAAACGACAATGTACAAGGGGCAGGGGGGCAGAAAGGCGCGGACGCAGGAGAAGGGGTTTGAAAACAACATTGTCGGTATAGAGATTTTGGTGTCGGAGGTGTTCGAAAGCTTGAGGCTGTGGGAAACGACGGGGGGGAGGGGGAGAAAAAATCAGGGGGATGGTGGGGAGGAGGGAGGATCAGGAAGGGCAGGGCACGAGATGGAACAACTGGGAGTGCGGGTGCGGCTTAGGAGCAGCAGCAGTTGTTGTGGCAGGCTGCACCCCAGTGACCACCCAAGGCAGAAGGAGGAAGACCAGGAGAAGGAGAAGGAGCAGCAGCAGGAAGGAGGCGGAGGAAAGAGAGAAGGAACAGGCGGAGACTGGGACGAAGAACAGAGATCGCCTCGTGGCCCCAGACCTCCAACGCGGCGATTGTTCAGGCCGAGCGTCATGCCAAGAACACATGGCCCAATCCCGGATGCCAAGTGGATCGCAGAGGGTCGTTGTTGCTTGGACCCCGGGGCCGAGAAAGGCAGGAGAGCCCAGAATCGAATCGATAAATCGGATCTGCAATCGAAATAAATCGAATCGGCAGAAATCGGCAGCCGAGTCAGGAAAAGTCGAATCAGCGGAAATCGGCAGGATAGTATGCCTCAATGGAGAAATCGGAGCCCAAATCGGAAGCCGACATCGAATCGCATCGGAGTCGGGAGCCATCGAAATCGAATCGGATCGAATCGGAAAAATCGGAGTGAGCCCTGGAAAGGAGGGGGGGTGACGGATAGGAATGCCTTCGCTAAATAGACGAGGGCGGCCACGAGCAACAGGCGAAACGAGACGAGACGAGGGCCCGCGCCCTGCTAGTGGGAGAGGTCCGCAAGCTACGGCATCTTCACGGCATCTTCCTGGTTACTCCAGAATTCGTAATAAAAGGGAGGGGGTCTGGACCCTCCAAGACAAGCCATTTCAGACCTCCCCCGTGGGAAACCCTCCAGAACATCGTCCCCAGACCCCCCAAGGCCCTCCAAGATAGCCTGGAAGAGACCCCCCCCGAAATGAGACCCCCCTCCCTTTATTGCGAAATCTGGAGTACCTGGCAAAGTCGGGCTTCGGTGGCTCGGCGAAGCCGACCTTGGCCCGAGACGCTGCGGGGCCCCCTGGCAACTGTGACTACCTACCAGACCACCCCAACCCAACCCGAAGACCCGAATTTCGGGTTAAGGGGGGGTAAGGGTTCCACATGTGTTTGTTCGATGTTTCCCGACCCCCCCCCCCTGGAAATCGACGGTAAATCAGAGCCCTCGGGTTGGGTTGGGGTGGTTTGGTGGGTGGTGAAATTGTGATTAGCAGAATCGAGCATCCGAGCGAACGAAAGTAGGCTGTTCCAAAGGGAACTGGAGCAGAGGAAAGATCGAGGCGACAGCGGGACCACAGAGGGGGGACAAGGCAGGGGAAAGACGATACAGGAGCGGGGATATGACGGCACGGCCAATACCGTATTCGAGCATGTGGGCAAACGAGTCGGGGGCCTCAGGGCCCCTGCAGAACAGAAACACATTGACGGCCCCCGAAAGCTCTTGGTAGTCGTCCAAGCGAAGACAAAACACGGTCTGGGACTCTGTCCGCGATCAAACTCAGAGCACCAAGCAAACTATCACCCTGCTCGCGGGATGCCAGGGGTCCATGGCGAGCGCGAGCGAGCAGGGCAGGAGTTGGGAGTCGCCAGCACGCAGCACGACAACGGCCCCCGCCTCCTCCTGGAGACAGTTTTGCACCGAATGTGGGCACTGGGGGGAAGCGGATCAAGGTAAGACACTTGCATGAAAGACCCTGAGGCCAGAGTTGAGAGAAAGAGGGCGGTTCCCCCAAGCAACCACACGGTCATCTGAAATTCTGGCTTTGCCGATTCGTTCGAGCACGTCCTGCTAGAACCGTAAGGTGAGTAGCAAGCGTGCACATACAGGTGCGAGGCACAACATATCAGCACCTGGCATGGAGCATTGCAGCGGAACTCTGCCAACATCTGTAATGCGTCGTTTCCTCGAGATTCAGGATGTGGGGGCTGGGGAAGTGGAACTGGACAGTGCACGTGAGCGGCTAAAATGGATCATTGCGTGGCGCCGAGGCGGAGGGACTTACTGCGGGCGTCCCTGTCGACGAACTTCATTCCTGAAGCGATCCATACATTCGAGAAATCGTCAACAATTCCACCCTCTCGGGAGGAGGGGGAGGAGGAGGAGGAGGAGGAGGAAGAGGACGAGGAGGAGGACCAGTGTAAACCCAAGAGTCATCAACGATGTTGGAACAAACCCTCCCAAGCTCCCTCTTCATAAACCCCTACAACGTTTGATTTCAACTAAGGGAACTGCCTCGTTGGAAGACAACAGCTTGAAGACCCTGTAGCATGCCAAAACATTGTTCTCGGGATTCCAACGCCACGGATCAGCTTGACTGTTGCGTCTTGACAATCCTGAATCGCGCCAGAAAGCCTTTCCTAGGACTTCAACACCATCAAAATCCTGAATCGTCCCAAAATACCAATTCTGGTATGCTGATCGCGGGATTCTGTGAAATTCTTGCAAATGTTGAAAACGCATGTGCACGGCGATGAGGCGACAGCCGCATGCTGAAAAGGAGCCGCCCTCAATTGGTAAAATGTGCGCGGCGCTAAGGCGAAACCACGGTTTGAAGACGTGCCGCCCTTAATCCGTGAAGCTCTTTCATGTTTGACACAAACGTACGCGGCGCTGAGGCGAGAGCCACATTTTGAACAGAAGCCGCCGTCGCTGAGGCGAGAGCCACATGTTGAAAACGTGCCGCCCTACATCTGCGAAACTGTTGTCAATTTTCACCTTCAGGGTCATAAATGATGAGGAAGCTTCAGGCGAAACGCCCGGCCCACCCAAGAAACTAGCTTCGGGGTGCGAGGGGGAAAAATCAGTTATAAGGAAGAGGAGAGGAGGAGGAGGAGGAGGAGGAGGAGGAGGTAAAACAGTAGGGGGAGGAGGACGAGTAGGAAGAATAGAAGTCTCAGGAAGGAGGAAACTGCGTTTTCCTCTTCCTCCTCCTCCTTCTCCTCTTTCTCCTCGTACTCATCCTACTCATCCTGGTCGTGATCCTCTTCATTATCATCTCCTCACCTGGGGGAAAAAAAAAACACCCCTGGGCGCAAAAATCGTTTAGAAAGGAAACGCCCGTCGTGGAGACTGAATGTCGCGGCGGCTGAGAAAACGACGACTACGATGACGACGACGACGACGACGACGACGACGACGACGACGACGACGACGACGACGACCGGCGACGACGACTGACGCCTGACGACCGACGACCGACGACGACGAAGGTAACGACGACGCGACGGCGACGACGGTGGCGGTGGCGGCGACAGCGCGCCGCAGCAACTGTACAAAGACCCAGAAGCTCGTCTCGCCCTCGGCGCCGATGGCGCCGGGCATCCCCGCGGCGCGGGCCCGCTCGGTGGCGGTCTGCATCTGGCGCGCGCCGCCGGCGCCGCAGGGGGGGCCCGCGCCGCCGAAGAGGCCGCCCAGAGGAGCAGGGTCCGCCAGCACCGAAACGGGAAATCGGGTCGGATCGGAATGGACGAGTCAGGAATTGGGCCTCGCTTCATCGGAGGGCGACGCCTGGGGGGTGTGGGGGACGAAAGGGCTCCTTTTCTGCAGCCCTCGCTGCCCCCCCCAATTATATCGCCCCCCCATTACGCGACGCCCAAGGAAATCGATGGATCGATCCGCCCGCCCAAGTCGGCATCGAACCAGATCGATCGGATCGAAGTGAGCCCTGCCGAGGAGGCCGCCGAAGAGGCCAGCGAAGAGGACGCCGAGAAGAGGCCAGCCGAGCGCACTCCGGATGATGATGATGATCATCACCATCATCACCACCATCATCATCACCAGCATCATAAGCATCATCAGCATCATCAGCATCATCATCAGCATCATCACCACCATCACCATCATCACCATCAACATCACCACCACCACCACCATCATCATTGTCGTCGTCATCATCATCATCAGCATCATCATCAGCATCAGCATCAGCATCATCATCAGCATCATCATCAGCATCATCAGTATCATCATCAGCAGCAGCAGCATCAGCATCAGCATCAGCATCAGCATCAGCATCATCATCGTCATTATCATCATCGCCTAAGCATCATCATCGTCGTCATCATCATCATCATCAGCATCATCATCAGCATCAGCATCAGCATCATCATCAGCATCATCATCAGCATCATCAGTATCATCATCAGCAGCATCAGCATCATCATTGTCGTCATCATCATCATTGTCGTCATCATCATTGTCGTCATCATCATCATCATCATCAGCATCATCATCAGCATCAGCATCAGCATCATCATCAGCATCATCATCAACATCATCAGTATCATCATCAGCAGCAGCAGCATCAGCATCAGCAGCAGCATCAGCATCATCATCAGCATCATCATCAGCATCATCAGTATCATCATCAGCAGCAGCAGCATCAGCATCAGCATCAGCATCAGCATCAGCATCAGCATCAGCATCATCATCGTCATTATCATCATCGCCTAAGCATCATCATCGTCGTCATCATCGTCATAATCGTCCAACAGCATCATTAGCATCATCAGAATCATCATCCCCACCATCATCACCACCATGATCAGCAGGAGCAGCAGAAGAATGATCATTATCTCCTGGAAGCCCGAGGCGAAGTGGACATGGACAAAATTCTGGCGTCTGGAGTGGCCAGGATTTGATCCATGTCCTCTGCGCCTCGATTGCTTTACCCACCCCTTACCCAGGCGACCAAGACGCCGTGGAGCTGGGCAGAACGAAGCTTTGCCCACAGCTGAGGGGCTACGATGGGGGGGAGCTGGATCCAGGGGGGATGCATCCACCCGGAATCGGCGACACAGCCCCCGATAGCGAATCCGCACGCTCCTGGTCTGGGGGGGGGGCCATCGGGCCCCCATCGGCGATCTGTAGGCGATTGGGGGTCGGCGCCTCCCCCCCGTTGAGCAGGCACCGACCGTCCCGGCATCTCTAATAGGCCGGCCGACCGCGACATGTTCTCAGAACCCCAAAATGTTCGAAGAACAAACACACTGTTCTCAGAACACAAATCCGATGTGTCAAAACAAGACAGCCCCGGCCAGAAACGCTCCGAGAGCATGCCGTGGGCACCACCAGAGGCTCCTGGAGCCTTGTTCGGCAGGCCTGTAGGCACGCCAGGACGCTTCGCCGCTGCTTGTCCCCGGGCCGACGCCCCCCCCCCCCCTCCCATTGCCCTTGGGCAGCGGGGCCGGCCAAGCCGAGGCCGCCCCAGGAGACGGAAGGGCCGCAGCTGGCGCTGCGACACCTCGCTGGGCGCTGGCGGCGAGGCCACCGCCCTGGCCCTAGCCGCGCGGCCGCGCCAGAGGGGCCCGCTGTGGGCCCGTCGTCGTCGTCGTCGTCGTCGTCGTCGTGCTCGTCGTGCTCGTCGTCGTGCGAGTCGTCGTGCTCGTTGCGTGTCGTCGTCGTCGTCGCTCGTCATCGCTCCTCGCTCGTCGTGCTCGTCGCTAGTCGCTCGGCGCTCGTCGCTCGACGTCGTCGCTCGTCGTTGTCGTCGCTGGCCGCTCGTCGCGAGCAACTGTCGTCATCTGTCGCTGTGGTCGCTCGCCGCTCGTCGCTCGTCGGCGTCGTCGTCGGCATCGAGAAAGCAGCGGAGCTGCCGCTGACACTCTTCTCGTGGAAACGTAAGGGCTCTGCCTAGCTGCTGGAGCTCAACCAGGTTCGATACTGCGGTGCCGATGGCCCCCCCAGGCAGTTTACGGGCCACGCTGCGGGCGCAGGAGCTGAGGACGCAAACGATCCGCCCACACCAAAACTTGCCGAGCCTCGCCTGGGCCCAGAGTCGCTGGCCGCGCCCGCCTGGCCTGGCTTGGTGGACGTGCACGCCAATCCTGGGCCCCAGGGCCAGTTTGGCCATGTAGGTGGATGGCTGGTCGTCCCTCGGTGAGGTGGCGCGGAGAGGAGAGCGCTTGGAGGAGCGGGGAAAAGGCTAGCACTTCCAGGCCTTGGAAAAAACACACAGTGGCATCGCATTGGGAAAGATCACCGTTGGGATACTTGGAAGGGCCCGCGTGGGCAGCAACGAAATAGGAGAACGAAGGTCTGAGGACGACGACGACGACGACGACGCCTCAAAATCCGCGCCAGTCCCAAGCGGATCCAGTCTGCAGGCCGTGTGTCGCACCAGGACGTGTGGGAAGAATCCTGGGAGCCTGGGAAGCCCTGGAACGTGCCACTGCCCTGACCTCTTGCTCTCCCCAGGGAGGGGAGGGGAGGGGAGGGGAGGGGGGGAGGCGGCGGGATACGGGGTTGCCCACAGAGACCCAGAAAGCCCCCAAACGCGCGGAGAACCCCGAATCTCGACGACGACGACGACGACGACGACGACAAGGACAAAGACAAAAACAATGACAAAGGCAAAACGACGACGAGAAAGACAAAAACAAAGAGCGCGTTTCACGGGCGCTTGCCTTGGGAACATTCGGCGGCGCGTTTCGAACCGGGGGGGGTGAGCCCCCCCCAACACTCGGCGCCGTCGATCAGAAACAGGGAGACTCCCCTCCCCCCTTTCCCCCTCCCTCCAGACCCCCCCCCCTCCCACGGTGGTGAGGGGGTTCCAAGCCCCACCCCCCCCATCAGCGCCAGCGCCAGCGTCAGCGCTGGCGGCGGCCAGCCAGCAGCGCCGACGGCAGAGCGCAGCGACGATGACCAGAGAATGCCCAGGGGGATGGGGGGGATGCAACCCCCCTCCCATCCCCCTGGGCATTCTCCAGGGGGTTCAACCCCCCCCATCACCCAGGGGGTTGGGGGGGGGGGTCCACCCCCCCCCAACGGCCCCAGCGCCGGCGCCAGCGCCGGCGCTGTCGGCGGCCAGAAGCGCCGACGGCGGGACGCAGCGACGATGACCAGAGAGGGCCTAGAGGCCGCGGAGGGGAAGCACAAATCGCCATATCGATCCCTCGCCCCCCCAAAAGCCACCAAGAGGCCCTTAGGAAGGTCCACGAAGCTTCGCAAATGCTCCTCAGACGCCCCCGAGACCCATCTGACGAGACCACAAAAAAGCGTCCATTAGAACGCTAACCCAAAGCCAAAACACAGCGGTGGGAAGACCCAGAGGCCACACCACCACCAACAACCACAAACCACCACACCACCACTACCACCGCCACCACCACCACCACAACCACAACCACCACAAACCACCACCACCACGACCACCACCAAGACCAAAAAACACTACACCACCACCACCACCAAAAATGCCACCACCACCAGCACCACCACAACCTATCACAACCCACCACAACCACAACCACCACCACCACCACAAACCACCACACCAACCCACCACCACAACCACCATCACCACCACAACCACCACCTACCCCACAACCACCACAACCACCAACAGCACCACCACCACCACCACCAGCACCACAGCCCACCACCACAACCACCACCACAAACCACCACGCCATCACCACCACCACAACCAGTACCACCACCAACACCACCTCAACCCACCACCACCACCACCACCACCACCAAAACACCACAAGACAACCACCACCACAGCCACCACCACAACCTGAACAACTCACGTCCATCACCACCACCAAAACAATCCACCACCACTAGCACCCCGCCACCACAATGTAAGAACGCCACCACCACCACCGCCACAACCACCACCACCACTACCAGCAGCACAACCCACAACCACCACCACCACCACCACAAATCACCACACCACCACCACCACCACCACCACGACCACCACCTCCACAACCCACCGCCGCCACCCACCTCCTCCACAACCCACCGCCACCACCCACCAACGCCACCATCCCACCACCCACCACACCACAGCCAACACCACCACCGCCACCACCACCACCACAACCCACCACCACCACCACAACTAAACTACAACCACCACCACCACAAACCACCACCACAACACCACCACCACCACCACCACAAACCACCACCACAACACCACCACCACCACCCACCACCACAACCACCACCACAACCACCACCACCACAACAAACCACCACACCACCACCACCACCACCACCCCCACCACCACCACCACCACAATCCACCACCACCAGCACTATTACAAACCACCCACCACCATCAACACAACAAACCACCACCACAACCACCACCACCGCCACCACCGCCACCACAACCTCAACCCACCACCACCACAACCACTACCACCGCCACAACCACCACGACAAACCACCTCACCACCACCGCCACCACCACCACCACCACAACCCACCACCACCACAACTACCACCACCACCACCAGAAACAACCGTACCACCATCACCACCGCCACCGCCACTACCACCACAACCTGCTACCACAACCACCACAACAACCACCACCACCACCAACACCAACACCAACCACCGCACCACCACGACCACCACAACCACCAACACCAACACCATCACAGCTCACCACCACCACCACCTCATGAGGCCCGAACAAACGCCCAAGAGGCGCCCAGGAGGCTTCACAAATGCCCTTCCGAGGCCCCCGAGAGCACGCCGACGAGACCCCAGGAGGCACGCATTAGGAGTCAAAACAAAGACACGGTGGCGGAGCGTTGTCGTCGTCGTCGTCGTCATCGTCGTCGCCGTCGTCCTCATCGACGCTCCCCGCCGCCGCCGCCAGCGCAGGCGCCGCCAGCGGCCCAGAAAAGGAAGTCCTCGTCTTGATCGACGCTCCTCGCCGCCGCAAACAGCCGCCGCCGATGCCGGCGCCAGCCCGGGGAGAGGGAGAGAGGGGGGAAGAGGGGGGGAGGGACGGGGTTTGAAACCTCCCTGGATGGAAGGGGGAGAGTCAAACCCCCCCCTTCCATCCAGGGGGGGGTCCAGCTCCAAACCATCACCCCTCAAAGCGACCACAGAACGCGCTTTATCACAAAGACACAGACGACGACTAAGACAAAGACGAAGGCAACGACGACGACGACGACGACAAAGACGACGAAAATGACGACGACAAAGACGACCAACACGACGACGACGACGACGACGACGACGACGACGACGACGACGACGACGACGACACGACCACGACCACGACTACGACCACGACCACGTCGACGACAACGACGACGACGACGACGACGCCGAGGAGGACGACGACGACGCCGAGGACTGCCATTGCGGCGGCGGCGGCGAGGGGCGCGGCCACGGAAGGGGGCCTTCGCGACCAGCAAGGTCTGCTCCTCGGGGGGGCGCGCTGGCGGCGGGGCCGCCGAGCCCTCCGCCCCCGCCCCCCGAGGAGGAGGAGGAGGAGGAGGAGGAGGAGGAGGAGGAGGAGGAGGACGACGACGAGGAGGAGGAGGGAGGAAGAGGAGGAGGAGGAGGAGGAGGAGGAGGAGGAGAAGGAGGAGGCGGTTTTTTCTCCCAGTGGAGCACGAGCCCGCCAGCTGCAGAAGTGCACTACGCACTGCTCTAACTCCCGTGAGTGGGAAACCCGAAATCCTTGAGGGCCCAGCACTGAAGGATGACCTTATTCCTCCCAGTTCTGGGGTGGAGGCCACGCTCGAAGCGGCTCCGCCGCTCATTGCCAATCTTGCTCTAGACAAATCCAGGCTGCTTCGCTGGGCAGCTCTTGGCCAGGCCGACAGGGCGCAGCTGGGCATACTGCGCCCATTGCAAGCAGCACAACAAGAAATCACCCTGCTCTGGTGAGCAGCCCTTCGGGCCAATCACCGCACCCCACAAGACATGGGTGCCTGCGAACTCTCCCAGGCTCCTCCAGCTCTTGGACGCCTCGCGCCCACACTGGGAGGCCACCCCGACCTCCCAGCTCAAGAAACCGTGCAAGCACTGAACGCACAGCCAGCGGCAATCCGCCACGTCGTGCAGATCGCGCTGCAGAAAGCACGGACGCACACACGTCGGGGGCCGCGCACGCGGGGGCAGGTGGGCCCACTTCACCCTGGGAGCAGGCCCACACGCCAGCACCCGCCCCAGGTTCGTCAGTCCGCGCCGCGCCTCGGCGCAGGCATCCTCCAAGATGGCCTTGTTCTGGGCCCACCTGGGCCACAGGTTGAGTGCCTCCTTGGCCGCCTCATCAGCCCAAGAATTGAGGACGACCCGCCACTCACCATACGTCTGAAGAGGCGGCGGGAGAGTCCTGGGGAGCCTTCATCTTCAGACCCGCACTGCACGCGAGGCAACGGCGCCGCACTAGGCGCCAGTGCCCAGCATCCTTCCGCGCTGGGCTGGAAGTGCACGCGCGCCCGCGTGCTCGGGCGGCAAACGCCGCCGCAGTGTCGCCAACATGCGGCTGGCCGCCCGTCTGCAGTCTGCCCCTCGGCGGTAGGCTTACAGCTCGGCCGCGTGAGCGGCGGGGGGGGGAGAGGTCAGAGAGCCGAGGAGCTTCCGAGCAGTCCCGCCCCGCCCCCGCTGAACCACCGCCCATCCCGCCCGTCGGAGCTCCTCAAGGGCACGGCCGGTGGCTGACCCGTCACCAGCAAGAGGCAAGCTGGGCTCGAACGCACAAACTGTCGACTGGCATTGGCACGTCTCCAACTAGGTCACGAACGATCATTGTCTCGGGCGCCCTGGGACAGGCCACATCGGGCCGAACGGACAGCGGCGGGGCACGCGCACAGAACGGACCGAAGCTGCCTTCGTTCCCCCGCGCGTGCTGCTGGAGGCGGGGGCGGAGGTGGGGTCACTTGTCCGTGGCCTTCAGCGAAAGCCACGCACGAGCTCAGGCCGCGACGACCTCCCACCAAACGCCTGGGAGAGCACGCTCGTCCCGCCCTTCTCGCCGTCGCACGCTGTCTGAGGCACGCTCACGGACTCGGCCAGGCACGTCGCGCAGGTACAGTTTCTGATGCGCTTGGGCGCGTGTTCGAGTGCGGACAGCGTGCCGCACCGTGATGAGACGGAGACTAATGTTGCACTCTGCACCGACCACCCCGCCACGGCGGTCGCCTTCAGCGCCGCTCCGATGGGCCCTGCCTCCGACTTGCCATCAAGGTTGTCCTGGAGGGCCTGCTCGAACACTCTGCACAAGGTGGTGGTGGGCAACAATTTCCCATGTCGGTGTCTCTCGTCTGTGGCCCTCCACATCTCCTCCAGGTAGCGGCAAAGGGGCATGAAGGCGGCGTTGCCAATGGGGTTGGCCGTGGGGTGGAAGGCGCCGTCCGATGACATGTGGCCGTGCCCGTAGTCCTGCTTGGTGATGCGCCTCATGCCGTCGAGTTCCTGCAGGGTGAAGCCGCTGACCTCGCCGCCCCACTTCTTGATGAGCAGGATGGCTGAGTGCAGGATGCGCCGCGTCTTTTTGTAGACTGTGATCGCACGGCACGGCATGCCGAGCCGCTGCTTAACCGCCTTCCACCTCTTCCCTCTCACTGGGCCTGGGTGGAAGTGCCTGATAGTATTACCATGCCGCCGACGCCCCGCACGAAAATCTGCTCCAAGATGGCGGACTGAGGTCTGGGTAGTCTGGTGCCTGCCTGCGTGCTTGGACTTTCGGGCAGGCTTCCGAGTCGATGCTGCAAGCTTCCTCTCGGGTAGGCCCAGACCCGCCAACCTGCGCATGCCTTCCTCCGTGATGGCGTCGCTGTTCCGATAGGATGGTGCCTTTGGCGTCGGCCACCCGCATCTTGAGCTCGTCGGTGCAGCGCGTTCTCGAGCCCACGAGCGGCCTCCACCGTGAGGTCCAGGCGCGCGCCGCCACCATTCGCAACCACCTCCTGGTCGATGTCGTCCACGTGCCACCGCGATGCCGACCTCGGGGGTGGGCCGTGGCCTGCGCCCTCAGCTCGATCACGGGCAGGCCTGCCAGGCGCAGGTGGGAGGAGGGGTGGGAGGAGGAGGAGGGGAGGAGGAGGGAGGAGGAGAGGAGGAGGAGGGAGGAGGAGGAGGAAGGAGGAGGAGGGGAGGAGGAGGAGGAGGGAGGAGGAGGAGGGAGGAGGAGGAGGAGGAGAGGAGGAGGAGGAGGAGGAGGCATCCCGCGACGATGCAGCTCTCGGGGCGCAGCCCGTCGCCCGCGATGCCGCCCAGGAGGAGCCTGCGCCTCCAGCGGAGGGCCCCGACGGCCCCGCGCTGGACGTGCAGGGGGGAACATCTCCCTGCACGCCAGGCTGCACAGGACGTCGTGCGAGACCGTCTCGAGGGCCTTGGCCAGGCCCCACAGGAGGGAGGAGGAGGAGGAGGGGGAGGAGGAGGGAGGGGGGAGGGACAAGCTGTGTGCGCTCGCGTCATCTCTGACGTCCTACCCCTCCCTCCCATCCCATACCATGGCGCTGATTTTCTCTATCCGCGGACGCGTGTCGTAGCGGACCTGTGGCTCCGCGCGCGCGTGCGTAGTGGGTGGTGGTGCGCGTGCGTGCGTGCGTGCGTGCGTGCGTGCGTGGTTGTGGTTGTGGTTGTGGTTGTGGTGGTTGTGGTTGTGGTTGGTGGTTGGTGTGGTTGGGTTGGTGGTGTGGTTGGTGTGTGGTGGTGGTGGTGGTGGTGGTGGTGGTGGTGGTGGTGGTGGTGGTGGTGGTGGTGGTGGAGGTGGTGGTGGTGGTGGTGTGTGTGCGTGTGTGCGAGTGTGCTGTGGTGTGACGTGGTGTGGCGTCTTGGTGGTTTGGTGGTGGGCCAGGTGCGCGCGTGCGTGATGGCGGTGGTGGTGGTGGTGGCGGTGGTGGTGGTGTGTGTGCGTGTGTGTGTGTGTGTGCGTGTGTATGTGTGTGTGTGTGCGTGCGTGTGTGTCTGTGTGCGCGCGCGTGTGATGTGGTGTGACGCGGTGTAGCGTGGTGGTGGTGGGTGGGGTAGTGGGGTGGTGGTGGCGGTGCGCGTGCGTGCGTGCGTGCGTGCGTTGGTGGGTGGAAGTGGCGGTGGGCGGGGCGGGGCGCGGTGCGGTGGTGGCGGGCGGATGGGCGCGCGAGAAAGAGGCCCGCGCTGGGGCGAGAATGCCATCCTGAAAGACGGAGGCAAAACACCGATCCGAAAATGAGACCCACGCTGCAGCAGGAGCACGATTCGGAACGAGCGGGGCCCGAAAATGAGGCCGGCGCCTCAGCGAGAGCAGCATTTTGAAAAAAAATGCAGGCGAAAACCCAACTCCCGGGAATCCTGTGTGCAAAAAAGCAGGACGCGGGGGGGGGGGGCGAACACTCCCAGCACGTCATCAGGGGAAGAGGGAGAGTAGTAGTATTAATATTGAGTAATTGTGGAGGGAGGAGCAAGGGGGGAACGAGGAAGAGGGTGAGAACGAGAGCCTCATCAGCCCGCGGGTACCTCCTCAAGTACCTTTCCTGGGCTGCCAGCAGGCACCTCCCAGAGCCTGGGCTGCGCGCCGGCACCTCCCAAAGCACCTTTCCTGGGCTGCTGGCCGCAGGTACCTCGTGAGCATCCCTGGCAAGTGCCTCTCCTGTGCTGCCCACAAGTACCGCCGAGCACTTTTCCTCGGCAACCCGGAGGTACCGCTCGTTCTCGGGAGTCCTTGAGCCGATGCTGCGTCGAGCGTCCGTCGACTTGAGTCGAGCTTGAATCGAGCTTAAGTCGAACATGAGTCGGACTGGAATCGCACTAGGGTCGAACAAATCCGTCAGGTGGGTCCAGGAAGGTCCCCAGAACGAGTCTCAGAGAGAGCACTCGGGGCTCCGGGGGCAGAATTGGTCAACATCGAATCGTGACATCGCATGGAATCGGAACGCCCGTCGTCGGATCCAGCCGCATCGGCACGACGTCGAAATCGAATCGGATCGGCTGAACCAGGATGCACATTAGCGCCATGTCAGCTCGGGGGCGGCCACGAGGGGGCTGTCCAAGAGGAGGGGGCGCCAATCATGGCCGGCGGCATGTGCGAGGCCCAGGGGGAGCCAGGGACGTATTGGAATGAGACGAGGCGCCAAATGAAATCTGGGGAGGCATCGTGGCCCCCGCCATGAGATCCCCCCCCCAAGTCATCACCCCCCTCTTCGCCGCAGCCGAGAAGCATCGGGCCACACCGGATCGCCGGGCGTGCGAAATCGGGTCGGATCGATTGCAAAAAAACGAAGGATTTCAAAAAAAATCCTGCAATCGGTCATCACCCCCCTCTTCGCCGCAGCCGAGAAGCATCGGGCCACGCCGGATCGCCGGGCGTGCGGAAGCGGGTCGGATCGAAGCGGCAGAGATCGACGGCGGATCGGATCCCTCGGATCGGAACGGGCCCGGGGGGGTCGGCTGCCGCCCTCGGGGACGCAGAGCGCGAAGAGGAGGGGGGCAACGA